TTTTTTTCATGTTCCTTCCCCTTTCTGGGACACCAGGCAGGGGCAGAGCAGCAGCTGCCAGGTGCCATGTGGAGAGTCACGTACAGCCTGGGAGATCGGACGGTCTGCTCTCACTTAGGGCAGACCTTGGCAGCTCTAAGGGCCACGAGAAGTCAGCTTTCGCTTGCAGAGGGGTGCAAAACCTTCCCTGGGGCTGGCACGAGCGCTGCCTGCTCGGGTTTCAGGATGTCCTCTCTTTTCTGTGGCTCCCCTTGCAGAAATGAGAGCAAAAGGTTCAAGGTAGACAAGGTCAGTTTGAGCTCAAATCTGACTGCGAAGGCTGAAAACGTTTCTCCACCAAAACCCAGTTAAATCAGTGACCTGGTGTCCATCAGAAGTGTTCGTATCCCCTGGGATGCACCTTGATTCCTTCCTCCCATGAAAACCTGTTGATGTAAATGCACCCGTTCCAGCATTTCTTCCTTTCCCATTTCCCTTCCACACTGAGGTCCCCTGGTACAAACCATTGCGCTGCGTGTCTCTCGGACACCACCTGCCCTGTACTCATCCCATCCAACACATCCCTGAATCTCAGCCAGGAGCCGAGAGGCAGACATGGGAAACCCACACCGGGAGAGCAGGGTGCCCCCCACCTCACCTCCGACACCAACCTCCCCCAGCCCGAAGCACACCGAGAGCCCACATGGAACGCTGCCACCTCTGCAGAGGTTTCATCCCGCTCCCTTTACCTTCGGCTGCTCCGCGCTACAGCATTTTTGGTAATAAAAGGGCTCCGGGTGGGGCCCTGATCTTAAACTCCCATTTCTAGCAGCTTCCCTACCGCTGCCCCACGCAGTCTGGATGAGAGCGGGTCCAGCACGCTTCCCGGCTGCTCCTGCAGCCCAGGAGGGAGAGCTGGAGTAGACATTTATTTTAGCTTCAGTTTCCTCTTTCCTCCCCCTTCAGAAAGAAGAAACAAAAGCCCAAAGGTATGTTATATTAATTTATTTGGGACACACCAAAAAAGGAAAGTCGACAACTGTTAACGTACAAAAGTACAGAATCCTGGGACAAGATTTACTGTCCTGATTAAGAAGGCACCATGGTCCCAAAGAAGAGTAATCAGAATACATCGTTTAGAATCTCCCCCCCCCGTTGCAGCAGAAACAGAGCCAGGCGTTGGCTCTATCCACAGTCAAACCCAGTTTAAAAAACATAGACGATTTAAATGCGACAAGCACTGCTCAGCCTGTACAAGATGTGAAAAGAATCACAGCCTAAAGGTGGTCGGACTTCTTTTTTTGCCTTTTTTCAGAACAGCGAAAGTGACAAACCACTGAGGATGTAACTGAGGAAGACAGCAGAGTTCTGACGTCTTCAGCTCGACTTTCTGTCAGCCGCGTCAGTTAAACTGAAACTAGGAGGCTGAGGGTGGGGCTTTTCAGTGAAATGTAATTCCCTGTGGCATACAGGAAGTCAGATTCGACAACCTTAAAATTCCCTGAAAATCATCAAGCACTGTACAGCTGCGTTCCCTATCCAGGTCAACCCTGGGGGATTTGCTTTACGCGCGAGCATTTACACTGGCAGCTGTATCTGTAATACAAAGGGGGTCTTACAGCAGTTCCTACAGAATTCTACTTCGGCGAGGTCCGAGCTTGGCTCTATTCCCTGCTGAAACAGAGCTGCTGGTGTAAAAGCCCAGGGAGAGGCTCAAGTCCAGCACCTCAGGGCTGGAAGGCAAATAGTTTAAAGGTGACATAATTTGCACAGGGAAGTCAGTGAAGCACGTCAGAGACGGGAGGAGAGAGCGGGCTGCAGACTCTGAAGCAGCGGAGGCCAAAGGGTGCTGCAGAACGTGGGCGCGTGCCGTTGAACCTGTAACACTACGAGCGATGCCGAATACACCGAGTTCGCTAAATATTTCGGAGCAACTTACCACAAAGAACTTCTCAGAGACACAGAGTAAGGATCCTGGCAGTTACTAACGAGCAGGGTCACTGGGAAGCCGATGCATTGCTCGGAGCCGGATGGATCCATCCGTAGGCAGAAGGACGGAGCGAGGTATGCCGGCGCCTGCCTGAGCAGCCAGGCCAGGGCTGCTGCCGCCTCTCGTGCTCGGTAGCTCTGCTGCGTCCCCCTCGGACCGGCAGCTAATTTGCGTTGCATTCCTCCTTTGGCATGGGACTTGAAAGCAGTCCCAAGAACTGGTTCATCAAAAGTAAAGGAAGTGTCAAAACTATTTGTACATGCATTTATTGTTAAAGGGAGCGAAAGCCGAAGAATGAAACAGCGCGAGTTAATGTCGGTAAAATGATGCGCAGGGCGGAAAGAAATGGGGAAAAGCTGAGATACTGGAGTGGGGAAACCAGCGTTCACACTGAAAGGTAAATTTGAAAACCAGGCAAGTTCGCGCTCTTTCTACCACAGAACTTGTGTGGACAGATGAGAGACATGGGGCTTTTAGTTTTCAGTGTAGTCTGGCAAGGTTTGGGAATCCCACCAGAGCCATCTCCAGCCCCGGGTTTCACCGAAAGCTGACGTCTCTCATCCTGAAAAGCCAGTAAAGCAGCTCTAACTGAGAAGGGCAGATGTCTCGTACTGCAGGCACCCCAGGTCGCAGACGTGTCACTGCTCGGGATGTACGTGGGCAGGCGGGCTACGCTCTGTTCCAGCTAACCCTGGGTGGAAAACGACCGTTTCCACCCCACTGGTCTGCACGGACCTTGGGGGGCGGAAAAGCAAGCCCAGATTCAGGTGCCTTTTGCTGCACATACCACAGCTACCCACACCTGGGAACGCTTTTCCTTCCCTATATCCTACGGCGGCAGGATAACAGGCTATCAAATTCTTCCTGGTTTAAAACTAAATAATGCGATTTGCATCCCTATCACCCTCAGAAGAGAAAGCATTACCACTTAATTTAGGATTCACACCTCCGACCCTAGATTAGGGACTTAATGTTAAAACTCACCCAATTACGGGAAGGTTTATCCTGATCAAGGAAACGTCATTAAAATAGAATCTAGAATAAAACATTCGGAATCAACAATGCCTTTACAGCCAAAGCACTCAAATGTCTCCTGACCTCTTTCTCTCTCTCCCCCTCCTGAAGCAAGAGAGCAATCCCTTCACAAAACCGCAGGGTGCCTCTCTGGGACTGGGTAACACAAGCTGAAAACCAGCTTACTTCCTGACAGAAATGCCAAGTTCTGCTGAAAGGGGCCGAGCACCTTTCCCTCCCACCAAAACCAGCAGGAGTTAGGGCTTTTCAGCACAGAAATTTTCCATTAGCAACAAGTCCAAGTTATTTCCCTGCAGTAAATCCGAGTCCTGTTTCAAACTGTTAGGCCACTGCTGGCTCAGAAATGGTGAGAGACTTGCAAAAAACCCACTGGTGTCGACAGGCCCTTGGAAGAAGAGGCTTATACGCTACGTAACCTTAGCTCATCTGCTGCGCTTCGGCCTCTGCATCATTAGCTGCTGACTACTTATCCTTCCGAATTCACGTGGTTTAGTCCTTGCTGCTGTTGTCCCAGTGCTCTTCCCCGGAGGCAGGATGTTCCTGAGCTCTGGCTTAGGGATCTACAACAATCACTTCCAATTGATGGTGGGATTTCAAACTTGCCTAACGTGTGCATTGCCACCTCGTACTCCAGCAGCTCTGCCTGTCAACCGCGGCATGCGCTAGCAGTTTTTGACCTTCTCCACAGTCTCATAGAACCCAGGTCTAACTCTCCTGATGCTCATCCGTATATGCTGGCACTCCAGGGGCATGGGGGCGCTCGCAGAAGTTGCCGTGCACCGGCGCTTCCTTCTGCCCCGCAGCGAAAAGGCTGGAGCCCCGCCATTCTCCTCCTCCGCTGGGAAGGGCTCGTCCACGCTCGTGCCTCTGTCTGAGTGCTCGTCACTTTTGTATTTCATCTCCTTCGGTTTGCTTCCTTCCTTCTCCTCCTTGGCGAGTTTTCTGAAGTGCTCCAGACACTGTATCTTTTGCCTTCTTTCCATCATCTTCAATTCTTGCTTGTCTGTGAAATCTTCATAGTACATTTTTCTTTCACTTCTCTGATCTTCAAGAAATTTCCACTCAATGCTTGTCATTTTTATTCCACTGTATTCCTCCAGTTTATTTCTCATCTGTGTGTCTGTACAAAATACATCAAAGAGCTTCTCCGAACTCTCATTGAACTTGTCTGCTCGCTCAGAAAAAGCCTGGTTCTGTCTCTGCTTTCTGGTCTGATACAATCTGGTAAACTCCTCGTACATTTTGAGGATAAGTTTCTTTATATTTTGTGTTGCAATGGTGTGCAAGTTGCAAATCAGCCAGTGCTCTTGCAGGTGCTCAGCGAGCAACTGGGCCGCATCCTCTTTGGACCGCTGGGCCTGGCCAGCTCTTTTGGGCTGCAATAAATACAGCATATTCTGAACCACATCCTTCTTGGTTGGCAGTATTCCCTGGGTGAAACCTGAAGACTCTACATATTCAACAGTCCCCAGAGTCTTCCGTGCTCTCACCTCGGTGTTCAGTGATTCCATCACTGCTTGTTTTGTTTGTTTGGGTTTTTAAATTATGACATAATCTGAAACATGAGGGGAAGGAAAAAAAAGAAGGTATGTCAAATGAGGCTGCTTTTTTTCCCTGCAGCAAAAATAAACAGATGAGAAAATAGGCTCAGACCAATAAGATCTGGGATTTTATGGTGTACTGCGTTGCTGTTGGATGGCTGCTGCGGTAGCCCAGCCCATTCAAACATTAGCACGCCGACACAATCTCACTCCTCTCTGCGGCTCTTAAAGCCTAATAAGGTGTGTTTGTTTATGTTAATTAGGTTTTTTTAATTGGGTTTTCGACTTCACATTGTAAATTCCAGCAAATCAAGACCGCCCAAGGCACTGGACTTCAACACCGGCACGCGAAAGCAGGCGTGCCTCCACCCCGGCTGCACCGCAACACCACCCCGTCGGTCCCGCGCCGCACCGAGCTGCTCGGGACCGGCGAGCTCGTCTCCCCCGCGGCTCAGCTCGCCGTGCTCCCTCTCCAGCAGCGCCCGCGCA